CATCGCCCTCCCTCCATCTCTCCCTCTGTGTCACATCGCCCTCCCTCACTTAGATAGCACTCCTTTCATCACTCCATTTCCCTGTCAATCCATGTCTCACTCTCCTTTGTTGTCCCTCACCTTCTTGTCCCCCTGCCTCACATTCCTCTCCGCAACCCAACCCCACTGTCACATCCACACCAGGACTAGTGGGAAGGTGGGATTCTCCCCACCACACCCCTACGAGCAGGGTCAGTGCATAAATTGAAGGCCAAGTCAGATTTGTTGATTGAGGATGGAGTGGAGGGTTATGGGGGAAGTGGAGTTGAGTCCACAGTTGGCTCAGCCACGATTGTATAGAATGGGCCGGCAGTGGAGAGGGGCTGAGTGGTTGATCCTCGGTAACAGGCTTGATGAAGAAATGGAATGTGGCTACCTGTCTCTGGCAGTGAGTGTGGAGAACGGGGATAGTCGCTCCCATGGGGAGAGAACAGGGGGAGAATACTGGAGTCGCCCCCGCGGGGTGAGAGAGGGAATGGGGAGTGTGGAGGAGTCGCTCCCCCAGGGGGAGAGAGAGGGGAGAATGGGGGACTCCCTCCACTGAGGAGAGTCGTTGGTGGGGGGGAGAATGGGGTCTCACTCCCGAGGAGGGAGAACGGGGGAGTCCCTGTGGTTGTGTTGCTGTGAGGCAGAGTGAGGGGATGTTGATATTGTCGATGTTTCCATGCTGTTGCAGGGCACTGACTCTCCACGGGGGCCTCCCATTCCTGGAACACCTTGACCTGTCGGGCTGCCTGTTGATTACAGGGCCTGGGCTGCAGGAGCTGGTGTCTGTCTGTCCCGCCCTGAGGGACGAATATTTCTTTTACTGTGATAACATTAGCGGTAAGGGCGCTGTGCCCTCTATCCCCATGCGCACACGCTGTCCCTCACCGTCAGCTCTGCCTTAACCTGCATTCACACCCCCACCCTCTGCCTCAACTTGTACACAGCAACGGTGGCACCCACACTGTGCCCAGCGCCCGCTCCCTTGGCGCCGGCCCTCCGACAGCCCCCCGCTCCCCCCGCCTCTGACAGCGGCCCGCTCCCCCCGCCTCCGACAGCGGCCTACTCCCTCCGCCTCCGACAGCGCAGTGCTCCCCTGGGGCGGTAGGGAAGTTGGTGTTTGGGGCTGGATGTTGCGCGCTCTCAGTTCAGTGTCTCTAACTCTCTCTCCCTCTCTCTATCTCGCTGTGTCCGACAGGTCCTCACGCCACCACGGCCAGCGGCTGTCAGAACCTCCAGTGCTCGGTACGGGCCTGCTGTCGCTCGGGAGAGTGACTCCCTCCCTCCTCTCCATCACAGACGCTGTCCACCTCCAGTCCGAGCTGTGTCGGGAGAAGCATTGGAGCTTCAGGATAAGTCCCACCCCCATCCCATCTCCGCTGCGGCTAGGACTGAGAGCGGATCCCCTGTAAATAACCCTCTGAGTAAAAAGCCCCATTCATGTTCAGAGAACCTGTTGCAGAGACTGGGGGCGTGGCGCACACGCGGTGCTCCCCCCTCCACACCACCAAACAGGACAGGCTTCCTAGTGTAGTTCTGTGGGCTCTCCTATCCCCCATCTAGTTCAGGGACAGCTCGATTTCTCACCCCCCAACCTGCGGCATCGGGGAGGGAGGGGTGCGGTGGGGGTAGGTGCCCCCCCTCGCTTCACCCAGGGAAAGAGCACTGAATGAGAGTCACGAGGAGCCCGACTTGTCGGGAGGAAGAGAGACAGAAAGAGAGAGAGGGAGGCGGTTACGTTCACTTGAACCCTTGTTCTCTCCCCCTCCTCCCAACTATCCTCCGACTCAATGACTTTGTCGTCTTTCCTTTCCACCCCCGAGGGCTGCACGAACCAAACTCAGACTCTATCTTCCCCCCCTCCCCCTCCTTTTCTCTGGACGTGTCTCCTGACCTACAACTTGCAAAAGGTGTGTATAGATTTAAATAAAACCGGATGTGATGATCGCCCTTGATTATATATATTTTTGTTTAAACTTCAAAGGTTTATCCCCCCTTGCAGGAGAATCCTATGTAAACAGTCACGCTGCAGTTACAGCTGTCCGCCACCAGGGGGCCACTGGCACAGAGACACTTCCGTGTTCGTCGAGTGGCAAGGAACGCTCCCTTGCCCGCCTTTCCTTTTCAAAACAAGAACAAAACGGAGCCCAGTGCCTTCACAGAATACAGCTCCCCCTCTCCCCAAAATGTGGCATTCTTGCTGGAATGTCCTGACTGTGAACAAGCTTCGGTGGGAAGTCTTGGATTTTCGTTTCCCCGGCTGGATGCCTCGCGGGACCCTCCCCGAGCCGGCGCTACGTGCCCTCCTTTTGGACGTGCGCGTCGCTGGCGTGCTGCCTCTTGTGCCTCAGGACCTGCGTGGGGGTGAAGAGGAAGTCCTGCTCGCAGACGCTGCAGCGGTAGGAGACCTGGAGGGCGGAGGGCACTGGAGGGGCCGGTTCGACGAAGTCGGGTGGCAAGCCTATTGGGTCAACACCGGTTGGATTAATGGTCAGCGGTCTTGGGCGGGGTGGGGAGAGAGAGTGAGAGAGTGTGAAAGCAACGCCGGGATGCAAAAGACATCTCGATCGTCTTACCAGATTCCCGGCGTTCCTGTGCTCCGCAGGTCATCTCGTGCTCCATGCGCTCCAGCGGGGTAAAGGGCATGTAGAGGTCACAGATTGGACAGGACCAAAAAGTCCGGAGGCAGTTACTGTAAAGGTCCTGACTGTCCTGTAGGGGAAGATGGAGAGACGGTGGGGGGAAGAGGTTACTGACGCAATGCTCCCTGTGGAGATTTCAGCCCCTCCCTATTGGTCATGCCAGAGACCTCGCAGGAGCCCGTTATCGCACAGCAAGCTCCCGCTAAACATCAGGGGTGACCTTTGTTTATGCTGACGTCATTGATGGGATAAAAGCCAGAGAGAATTCCTGTCCAGGGCTTCACAGCGCCCGCTCCCTGGGCGCCGACCCTCCGACAGCGCCCGCTCCCTGTCTTGCCCACCCACATCAGCCCACAGACTATAAGATCCCATTCTCCCCAGACATGGTCAAACTCTCCCACGACTGATGGAAGCTCACCGAGCAATGGGAGTCATGTTCCCACCCCCACTCCCCTCCCCAGGACTCACCGTGAGACAGTTATATGTGAAGTAGTCTGTGACCTTGAGGCCCCCTTTCGTTGGGTCGGCTCGACACTCCGCAAGCCCAGCAGACAGACCTGAGAGTGCTGGCATTTCCATCACCACCTGGGGGCCCACATACAGGTTCTGCTTCTCCAGAGCCGTGAGACGGCGCAGGGTGTACGGCATCTAGAAAGGAGGGAACGCACACAGCCATGTTACATAGATGCTCCCAGCGACACTGGACCATGGTACTGGTGGGGGACAGGTCTGTCGCTGTATAACACTGGGGTACAGTACCGGTGGGGACAGATCCTTTGGGGAAGAGTGACCATAACATGATGGAAGTCTTCACTAAGATGACAAGTGAAGTAGTTAGGTTCAGGGCTGTAAATAAAGAGAATTTGTTCGGGCATGAAGTGATAAACATCGATTTGGAAGCCTTCTTAACGGAGTTGACAGTCTTTAAGCACTGCTTCATAAAGATTACAATCATCATTCGTTCCTGTTTGGTGCACAGAATATCACTGAAAGGTGTCTTAGCCATGGCTTACAAAAGAAACTACGGATGGTACTCCATCCACACAGCGGAGACATACAGTTACCAGAAAAAGCAGCAAGCCTGAGGACTGAGAGCCACAGGGAGACAACATAGAAGCTGACTGTAACAGCTTCTGTGAAAAGGTTTGTCTTGACTAATCTTTAAGACCCATACACTAATGCAACCGTTGAGAGATATGAAACGATGGGTCTTTATCTGAGCGCCAGGAAGTGTCTAGTGCTGGAGGGATTAGGTATGTCAAAGAGCTTTGCTTGGGTCCCGGCTGTCGACGGTGAAGGAACCAGATTCAGAAATTCTCAACTGTGGATATGTCGAAGAAAAGGATTGTTTCCCCTTGACCCATGGGAAGAAAAATCATAACGTGCCTAGGCAGAGGATGAGCAGATTCCACATGCCAGTGGCAGGGTCTCTCTCTCTGTCAGTTCTGACACAGCCTCCCCTCACCTCAGCTTCCAGAAAGTCCAGGAGCTCCCGCCGCAGTCTGCTGTTGGCTCTCCCAGGGGCCAGCTCACCAGCGCCTCCCTCTCCGTCCGTCTCACCTTGACGTTCCAGGCAGTCAGTCAGGGCCTGCTCCCAGGCCTCGCGCAGCCTCCGGATGGCCGTCATCAGCCCCGTACCCTCCGTGGGCCGGGACAGGACCAATTCCAGCCAACCATCGACCACCACCCGCGAGCAGTCCGCGTTGGTATCCAGGGATCGGCCAAGGAGCAGCAGAGTCTTAGAGGAGGGATGCAAGAACATGAGGTTAGATTCCAGGATTGAAACGAGTCCCCATTCCTCCCCCACCCAATGAGCTGGCTCCCCGCTGAAATTCAAACAGGGCTTGGCAGTCAACTGCTGCTCGTCATCAACTGGTGCATTCCGCAGGCAAACATCCCCACTTACCAGTACCTCATGCAGTGTAGACGGGTTTTCCTGTTTTGGTTGTGACGAACGCAAGACAGAAAGCCTTGAAACCCCGTGCCCATCTCCCGACTGTGAGGCTTCCTCAGTTTCAGGATGAGGACTTTCGCGGCTGCTCTACTGGGGAGGCTCTGAACGCCCGCACTCACTCACCTGAAGCGCGGGCACACAGATGCAGTTCAGCAGGTACGGCTTGTTGGTCTTCAGCAGCGACACATAGGCGAGCAGCTGGTGCTGGGGGCACCGGTTGCCCTCCGAACCTGCGTTGGGCCGGGAGGCAGAAGGGGCGGCGTCAGTAACGGCCCACGAGGTTTCGCGATCTCTCTCTCTTTTCCCTTTTTTCCCCCCCCCTCCCCCACGTCGCAGAACCTGCAAGCAGGCACCCTCAGTGAACGGACGCAGCTCAAAGCTGCATGGCACAGTCCCACACGCGGTGAGGGGATCTATTGATGACGTCCTGTGTTTGGTCATGCCTGGCAAAATTTGGTTCAGGGCAAGTTTTATGGGGGACCAGCGTAGAGGGAGCTTTACTCTCTACGTAACCCTGCACCGCCCCTGTCCTGGTGGTATTGATGGAGGGGACAGTGCAGAGGGAGCTTTACTCTGTATCTGACCATCTGTCCTGTAAGTGTTTGATGGGGGATGGTGTAGAGAGAGCGTTACTCCCTGTTTAACCCTGTGCTGTCCCTGACCTGGGAGCGTTTGATGGGGGATGGTGTAGAGAGAGCTTTACTTCGTATCTAACCCCTGTGCTGTCCCTGTCCTGGGTGTGTTTGATGAGGGGGACAGTGTAGAGAGAGCTTTACTTTGGGACTGGAATGTTTGAGTTATAAGGAGAGGCTGGGATTTTTTTCCCTGGAGCATTGGAGGCTGAGGGGTGACCTTATAGAGATTTATAAAATCATGAGAGGCATGGATTGGGTGAATATCAAGGGTCTTTTTCCTAGAGTGGAGGAATTCAAGTCTAGGGGCCTTACCTTTTAAGGGGAGAGGAGAAAGATTTAAAAAGGACACGAGGAGCAATTTTTTTTTTTACAAAGAGAGTTTCATGTGCGGAATTAACTTCCAGAGGAAAGCCATTTGGATAAGTACATGGATAGGGAAAGGGCCAGGAGCAGGCTGGTGTGGGACTTGTTTAGTTTGGGATTAGGGTCGGCACGGACTGGCTGGGCCGAAGGGTCTGTTTCCGTGCTGCATGACTCTGTATCTAACCCTGTGCTGTCTCTGTCCTGGGCGCGTTTGAGGGAGCTTTACTCTGTATCTAAGCCCATGTCCTGACAGTGTTTGATGGGTGTAGAGGGAACTTTACTCTGTATCCAACCCCATGCTGTCCCTGTCCCTGGGAGTGTTTGATGGGGGGGACAGTGTAGAGGGAGCTTTACTCTGTATCTAACCCCGTGCTGTCCCTGCCCCTGTGCTGGAAGTGTCTGATGGGACACCAGTCATTAGCAACGACCCTGCGAATATCAGTGTTTTGCTCTTAACGGCTGGTGCGTGCAGTGGCCAGTTTGGTTCTTACCCTGGTCTTGTCCTTTGCATTTCTCCTCTTCGGGGTGAAGTAGGGAGGGCTTGTTGCTGTAAACACTGGTCGGGTGCAGAACAACCCCTTGCAAATGTTTTGTGTGGAAGATCTGAGAGAGGAGATCAGCAGGAATGAGACCGAAGGAATGCATGAGGCACAGAGCAGTGAAGAGACCGGGAAACAGCACGGACTGAACGAGGCAAACAGAGAGAAGAAGAGATGAGGGGACAGGGGGAGAGTGAGAGCTGGAGAGAAAGTGCTGCTGAAGAGGCAGAAACCAAGCTTTGTAGAGACAGCGCCCGCTCCCTTAGCACTGACCCTCCGACAGCGCCAGCACGCTCAAGGGGGTGAGTGTGACAGAGGGGCAGTACTGAGGGAGGACGCAGTGTTGGAGGATCAGTGCAGAGAGGTGACGGTGAGAGAGAAGGGGGGTGGAGAAAGAGGACAGCAGGAGTGAAGGGGGGAGAAGGAGAAGGAGAAAGGGGGCAAAAAGAGGGGATGGGGAGGGGAGGGGACGAGGACGTGGACATGGGGGATGGGGGACGGGGGATGAGGGATGTGGACATGGGGGAGGAGTGCCAGTCCTGACAGAAGCCTTGGCCACTTGCTGGCAAGCAGGCCAGAGGGAGGGGAATGGGTGGGGATTGAGGTGCCCCGTTCTCCCTACCTCTCTGCTTCAGCTGATCAGTGATATCCTCCCGCCTCGGGGACCTCCTCACCTGCTCCGAGTCCTTCCGGGAGCTGTTGAACTCATCGGACACCGCCAGTTGTGGGTACAGCCCTCGACACATCAGCAGCTTGAGGAGCGGGAGCTGGTGAGCGCCCAGGCCCCGCGAGGAGCTGTAGGCCGCTCTCAGATCCTTCACATCATCTTTCACAGCCTGCGGAGAGTGGGGGCACAGGATCAGAACACTGAGCAACCCCCTCCCCTCCAAAAACAAGAACAGGAGGCCATTCAGCACCCCCCCCCCTTCTCGAGCCTGTTCCACAGGAACAGGAGGCCATTCAGCCCCGCCAATTGCTGATGGTGAGCAAGGCAAACGGCATGTTAGACTCAAATCGAGAGCAGGGTTGGAGTCTTGCTTTGACTGTACAGGGGCGAGACATTGGAGGATTGTTTCGGGATCTCCGTATCGGAGGAAGGACAGTTCTGGTTACAGAGAAAGATGCTTCCCGGGACTGATGTGAGCAGAGAGGCCGAAACAGTCAGGGACTACATTCGCTGGAGTTTTTAGAAGAACGAGAAAGGGGGAATCTGATAGAAGCCTATAAAACAGGACTAAACGGGGTGGTGGTGGCGGTGGGCGGGGGAACACAGAATGTTCCCCATGACTCCAGAACCAGGGGGCTTCTCTGCCGCAGAAAGTGGTCAGGGCTGAAACACTGAATGTTTTCCAGAAGGAGTCGGATATAATTCTGAAGGCAGAAAGCGGGTTGGGGGGTGGGGGGAGGAGACCTGAGTTGGATGATCAGCTGCGATCTGACTGAAGGGTGCAGCAAGCCCAGGTGCAGGATAGCCTGCTCCTGCGTCGACATAGGCCCATTTATTGTCCTCCTCAAACAACCTCCCTTAGCCTAGAGGCAGTGCCACCGCGCAGAACTCCAGAGTAATAAAAACGCAGAGAATACCCCCTTTCCAAACGCGGATAGCAGAGAAAGGAGATGTAGACAAGAACCATCTTGCAGTTTACCTGTTTTTATATGTATATCGTTTGTCCGGAAGGTAGAAACGGATTGGGTCAAATGGGCACAGCAGTGGTAGATAGAGTTTAATCCTGCTAAATGCGAGGTGATGCACTTTGGCAGAAGGAACAAGATAAGGGAGGACTCGATGAATGGCAGGGCACTGGGAAGCTCGGAGAGAAAACGAGGGATCACGGGATATTTGTCCACAGATCCCTGAAGGTGGCAGGACAGGTTATGGAGATCTACAGCACCGAAACAGAACCTTCAGTTCAACTCGTCCGTGCTGACCAGATACCCTAAATTAATCTGGTCCCATTTGGCCCCTATCCCTCTAAAGCTTTCCTATCCACGTCCCCATCCAGATGCCTTTTAAATGCTGTCATTGTACCAGCCCCCACCACTTCCTCTGGCAGCGCGTTCCATACAAGCACCACCCTCTGCGTGAAAAAGTTGCCCCTCAGGTCCCTTTCCTCTCTCACCGTAAACCTATGCTCCTCTAGTTTAGAACTCCCCTACCCTGGGGAATAAGACCTTGACTATTTACCTTATCTATGCCCCTCATGATTTTATAAACATCTAATAAGGTCACCCCTCAGCCTCCGATGCTCCAGGGAAAATAGCCCCAGCCTCTCCCTATAGCTCAAACCCTCCAACATCCTTTCAATTTTGACACCATCCTTCCTATAGGAGGGAGACCAGAATTGAACACAGTATGCCAAAAGTGGTCTCACCTATACAGCCGCAACATGACCCTCCCGACTCCTATACTCAACGCACTGACCAATAAAGGCAAACGTACCAAACGCCTCCTTCACCACCCTGTCTACCTGCGACTCCACTTTCAAGGAACTATGTACCTGTTCCCCACGGTCTCTTTGTTCAGCGACACTCCCCAGGACCTTACCGATAAGATGTATAAGTCCTGCCCTGATGTGCCTTTCCCAAAGCGGCACCTCACGTTTATCTAAATTAAACTCCATCTGCTCGAGGTCCCGTTGTACTCTGAGGTAACTTTCTTCACTGTCCACTGGACCTCCAATTTTTGGAGGCAGGAAACCTCACAACTTTTAAAAACAGTACATGGACGAGTGTGGGAAAGTGCAACTGGTGTGGATCGAGAGTAATGTAATCGTCAGGACTGGCTCAATGAGCCGAAGGGTCTCTTCTGTGCTATAACACAGAAAAGCACAGCACAGGAAGGGGCCCTTTGGCCCACGATCTTGTGCCGAACATGATGCCCAATTAAACCCATCCCTCCTGCCTGCCCTTGTTCCCTATCCCTCCATTCCTGGCTTATCTAAAAGCCCCTTAAACGTCCCTATTGTATCTGCCCCCACCATAATCCCCAGGCAGCGTGTTCCAGTCTCCTACCCCTCTCTTGCATGCCCCCTCATTTTAGATATTTCAATTCTTAGGGGGGTAAAAGATTCTGACCGTCAACCCTATCTATGCCTGCCGTAACTTTATAGACTTCTATCCGGTCTCCCCTCAGAGAAAACAGGCCTCTCCTTTACAGCTCGGACCCTCTAATCTGTGCAGCGTCCCGGTAAACCTCTTGCGCACCCTCTCTGAGCCGCCCACCTCCTTCCTGTAACGTGGTGACCAGAAACGGACGCGATAACGCGGCCGAAGCAAAGTCTCACAAAGCCGCGAGGTGACGTCCTGACGCTCGCGCTCGATTTCCCGAACGTGCCTTCCTTACTGACTCGCGGGGCCGCTTTTCCGGGAGCTACGGACTCGGAGCCCGATGCCCCTCCTGCTGCTCAGGGGTGTCCTGTCGCTGACTGTAGACTCTCCGTTAACCCCAAAGCACCTCACACTGACCCTGGAGGACTCTGAAACGCAGAAGCGGGCACGAGGCTGGGAGCGCGGGGAGGCTGGAGGAATGCAGCAGGGGCCAGGCAGCGCCAGAGGAGCGGGAAATGTCGACATTTCGGGTCGGGACCCTTCTTTGGGGGAATAAAAAAAAGTCGATTTTTTTTTCCTGCTCCTCTGGCACTGCCTGGCCCCTGCTACGTTCCTCCAGCCTCCGACGCTGCGTTATCTCTGACTCCAGCATCTGCGGCTCTTGGGGTTCGGGGAGCAGAGCGGTGGGGATTTTTAACAAAGTTTCACGCTGTTGCCTGTTTGAGGTGGTGGGGTGGGTCGGGGGGAAACAGAGAGCGGGGAGGGAGTTACATCTACATTTCTCTCTCTCTCTCTGTCCTCGCACCGACCTGGCCGTCCCGCGCGCCATGTCGCTCAGGGCAGGCGCTGGGCGCGTCATCATCCGATGAGACTGCCTCGTCGCCATCCCCTAGCCGAAGCACTTTGCGCCGGCGCTCGCTCCTTTCGTCGCGACACCTCTTGGCTCGGCGGAGCCACCCCGGTTCTCGTCGGCGGTCCTCCTTCCTCAGGAGGCCGTGCTCCATCAGCAGGTCCTACACACAACAGCACCAGGCACGGGGTTAGATACAGGGTGAAGCTTCCTCTACACTGCTCCCCCCCCTACCCCCATCAAACACTCCCAGGGACAGGGGGTTAGATACAGGGTAAAGATCCCTCTACACTGTGCCCCCCATCAAACACTCCCAGGGACAGGGGGTTAGATACAGTAAAGCTCCCTCTACACTGTCCCCCCATCAAACACTCCCAGGGACAGGGACAGCACGGGGTTAGATACAGAGTAAAGCTCCCTCTACACTGTCCCCCCCATCA